CAACACACACAACTTGTTTATTTTGTTTATAAATTAGAATTTTCGTTTTCTGACTATTTAGGTAAACAATATTCAAGTGATGCACCCAGCGGCGTGTACATGCACATGGGCATATACATACATATGTTTGTATGTATGTATGAAAAAACAAAACCGATTGTTTATGCATACACGAATGGACACTCAATACTTGGATGTGTGTGTGTGTGTTTGCTAGTTTATATATAACAGCGCCCGTGTTCACCTTCTAAATAAAGCGTTTATTTTTTGTTATTTTTACTTTTTTTTTCTGTGCCTCCTTTTCGCTTTCGCTCCCGCTCTTTCGCCACTCCTCATCTCCACAAAAGTGGCTCGTCATTTGTTATTAATCCATGGCAGTGTGTATTTTGCATGTTTAACATTTCAGATTTGTTGTTTATTTATTATTCTGACAGTTTTGTTGATTCTTTCATGCGGCTCTCGCCCGTTCGCCTAGTCGGCTTTAGAGTGTTTCCCAAAATATTGTTTCACGTAATTGACTTAGTCAATCGTGCGTGGACGCTGTTTTCTTGTACGTACGTATATATGNTGTTTCACGTAATTGACTTAGTCAATCGTGCGTGGACGCTGTTTTCTTGTTCGTACATAAATCCATAATTTGCGCTGATTTAGTTCAATACGAAAAGGAAATTTACACTTGTAGTACAACGAGTACGCAAGTACAAAGAAAAAAAATAACAAACAGCAAAATTCAAACCCAAAAAACGGAAATTGCAAATTTCTAAAATAAATTAAAAACCAATTATAAAGAAATCATTAAGATGCATAATAAAATTCACAAAACCATGAAATAAGGCGAAAATTTTATTCGTCATTATAGAAAACTAATATGCAGCAAGCGTTTGAAATTATTTACGCAAGGCTATAAGTGTTTTTTCTTCCACACAATTAGTAAAGTAAACAATTGGTATTTTAAAATCGGCGGTGATGGCAATTTGGGCGCCTAATTCTTTCATCCATATTTCAATTTGTTGTTAAATTGGTTCTGCATTATTATTTGTTTATGAGTTCGCTAATATTTTAAAACAAAGTGGAATTTTCAACAGAAAGAGCTTATTATTAACAGTTTTCATGGAAAATTAATCGATTTTTATCATTTCATGGAAAAAATAAAAAATGGAACGTGCTGTTAGGAGAATACCTGTGGCGAATCAAGAGTTTTCTGCGGAATTTAATAGCCCCTTGGTTCTAGATAAAAATGTGCTTACATATATATAATTTTACTAGGAATTGTTGAATTGTATTACAATGTAGCAGTGACGCAGACTTCAAGATTGCCATATTTAGTAAATGCCTAAAAACACTGCCTTAATCAGTAGAGCGACAGCTGAGAGATATCTAACTTTCACGAGTTGTTATCACCTCCAATCTTCCTTTCATACTGTTACGCATCCAACTGGCCGCTCTCTGGATTGGTTTTAGTATTGGTAGTGTTTTCAGTAGGTCGAGAGTTAAGATGTCGCGATGATGATGGTGATTTGTAACTAATAAATGTCTTACTCATTGGCATTAACAGAAATAGTATCATTCTTCTGAAGACGTCATCTGCAAGTTATTACTTACTAGCCTACCATTTGAGCAGCCATGGTAGAGAGTCTGCAAAAGGTTAGGTTATTCTGACTGTCCTCATCCAGCACTGGAAAAGGACACAATTAGGCCTCCATGAGCCATATTAGAGACTCATTACTTCCCTGCTCTCACCTTAGCAGTGAAACCCCTTTGTTGCTCTGATGAAGCGCACAACATCGTAGATACAAGCTGAATCCAGTTCAGCCAAACGTTGAAAAGAGTGGTGAGGGGACGAGCGCCACGAAGTGCTCTACGCTTTCGATATCCTCAGTAGTAGTTTGACTGCATACCCACTCTAATGGCTTGGGTTCCCGTCAGGTAGTGCCCGGTGAGAACTCTAATTACGTGTCGGAGTAGTGGACGCTCCAAGCGAAGGAGAGGCTGGAGATCTGCGTTTATCCAACTCAGGCCAAACATGCCTTGCTATCCTGCATGTGGGTTCCATAGACCATCATGTGTTTGCCTATTCGATAAAGATTTTTTCCAGCTGGAGTTTGGAGGAGGATAGCGAAATGTCCACATTTCCAGGGGTACTGATTGCAGAAAATAAGGTTCCCTTCCTAGCCAGCTCATCTGCAGCACAGTTTCCCGGAATGTCTATGCGGTCTGGCACCCATTCGACATGGGTGAAACATCTCATGACCAGCTTATTTAGAGTATGTCTACATTCAATGACCATCTTCGATGGCGATTTGTAACAACTAAGTGCTTTGATAGCCGCCTGACGGTCGGAAATAGCTACTGCAAAAAAAGTAATATACGAATCGATCAACCGTCAGATCAGCCTACTGAGGTCTGGCCGATAGAAAGAACTGAGGCTAAGAGACAGTTTTTGCGAGCACACCCCACTGCCTATCTTCAGATCTAACTTGGAGCCATCGAAGGCTACTGAATCAGAGTAGGAGATCAGGACCGAATCCTCCTCCCATTGATCCCTTGTTTGGAAATGATTCCGCGGTCTAGTGGGCGCGCCTGTGTAGCCAGGCGCTTGAAGTCTGCTGGGAGATCTTCCAGAATTCTGCAGAGCCCGTATGAGAAGTTTCAGTATTTCAAATTAAGGTTAATTTTAAGATTAAGACTAAAATTTAAATTCATATTAATGTTAAGGTTAAGATTGAAATTAAGAATTAGTTTAAAATTATGATAAAGATTGAGATTAAGATTGAGATTAAGATTATGATCAAGACTGAGATTAAGATTAAGACTAAAATTAGGATTAAGATTGGGATTAAGATTAAGATTGAGATTAATATTAAGAAGGGTAGTATTAAGATTGATAATAAGATTTAGATTTAGATTGAGATTAAAAATAAGACTAAGATTAGGATTAAGATTAATATTAAGATTAAGACTAAGATTGAGATTTAGATTAAGATTTAGAAGGGTAGCATTAAAATTGAGATTAAGAAGTAGATTAAGATTGGGATTAAGAGAAAGCCAAAGATTAGGATTAAGATTGGGATTAAGATTGAGAAGAAGGTTAGCATTAAGATTTGAATTAAGTTTAAGATTAAGATTTAGATTTAGATTTAGATAGAGATTAAGAATAATATTAAAATTAAAATTAAGATTAAGATTTGGATTAAGACGAAGACTATAATTAAGAATAATATCAAGGTTTGAATTGAAATTATGATTGAGATTAAATTATGATTAAAAATTAAATTAAGATTGGGATTAAGATTGAAATTGTGATTGAGTTATTATGCAGAAAAGTACTCATATAACATCGTGAGCTATACGAGCAATGGGAAGAAGTTTCACTTCAGTCGGGCGTGTGATCCATACACAACTTTTTCTTGATAGGGTCTTGGGTAAATGCCTTCAATTGGCTTAGTAATTGAAATTTTGCTGGAGTACACTGGTGGATTGTTGAATTCTTTAATACAGAAAAATGGATTTGATATTACATACTTGTTATTTTTGTGAGCAACGCATTACATATATATTTTCGTAAATTCATCTTTATATACTCTTGCATCTCTTAAGTAATTTCACACCTTTTTCACCTCTCTCTTCACAGATGATATGTTAAACGCTGGTGATAACATTCAACGGCAATGCCAAAAACTAGCTGAACTAACTCCGGTGTTCTACACATGCATCAAACAGAATTTATTATCACACGCAGTTGGCACAGTGAAACTGCAAAACGTGAGGGGAAAGCACAACAATAACAACTGAAAGGTCTGCAAGAATCAACCAAATTGATTTATAAATAATTAGAAAAAGAAAACAAAAACTGCAATCCTTACAAACCCTTCTAAACTCAGACACACACACGTACATATAGTGAAAGACATACATATCCCCAAAACCAACCACTGTACATATCTACATACATACATACCTTCTTCCCCTATCAAACATAAACAAGTTATTTGGTTTTTATGAGGCACCATCAGACACGCACCTACCAAAGCTCACAAATGAAATTCTTACCTAAAAATATGCACTACTCGCATGCAGCTATGAATCTGATAAATATGGATTCGGAAAATCGGGTCGTGCTGAATGTTGGCGGCATTCGGCACGAAACGTATAAGGCGACATTGAAGAAAATACCGGCCACAAGATTGTCACGCCTCACTGAGGCATTAGCCAATTACGATCCCATATTGAACGAATATTTCTTCGATCGACATCCGGGAGTCTTTGCTCAAGTACTAAACTACTATAGGTGAGTAGGGAAAGGAGTCGAAGAATCAAAAAAAAAAAAATAAATAAATAAATTACTTACTGCCTTTCACATTCTAGAACCGGCAAGCTGCACTATCCAACAGACGTTTGCGGGCCTTTGTTTGAAGAAGAGCTCGAGTTCTGGGGCTTAGATTCGAATCAAGTAGAGCCATGTTGTTGGATGACTTATACGCAGGTGAGTATACGATTAAACTTAACTAAGGTTTTGCGGGTTTTATGGGTCACAAATTTGTAATGCGGCTGAACTATCAAAGTTGGAGCGCAGGTTTTTTTGGCTTTCTTCAGGACATTTCTTTTTTGTTATTGTTTGGATTGGGTGCCATAGTTGACCTAGATTTCCGAAAGCTATACTCGTTTTCAAGTTGGCCTTATAGCCCTACTTGATTTTCTCCCAGCTGGCCACGCATATTATGATGATTGATGGAGAGATTTCAGAAGAAGAACAAACCCCGCTGTTCTTCGCTGTAAGAACCCGGTCTAACTTAACAAAAATCTAGGCTTACTATAGAGTGTACAGAATTTTTCCATGGCTTTCAGAAAATTCTTTCTGTTTTTGATTAGTTTGTTAAGATCCCCAAAAGACAGGCCATCTAGGCAGAATGTCTTCACACTAATGTGTTCATTGTAAACCTTGCAAATTGTAGTCAATAAAATAACAAATCTTCTTGGGGGTAAGAATAGCTCCGACCGTTAAACATTTTCTTAAGATCAGTACCGAGCTTTGCTCGGAGTGCATATCGACTTCCCGAAAACGCCCTATCTCAAAAAACTTTTCAAAAACATCCTATTTCAGAATTTGGTTGAAGAACGCCCTATTTCAGAATTCGTTACAAAAACGCCCTATATCAGCACATTTTCAATACATTTTGAAGTGAGATATTGCATTTTTGAATCGAATTCTGAAATAGGGCGTTCTTCAACCAAATTCTGAGATAGTGTTTTTCAATAAAATTCTGAAATGCGGCGTTCTTGAAAAGTTTTTTGAAATAGGGCATTTTCGAACTGGCTGCCGAGATAGGTCGACCTTCCACTCAGCAGTCGATATCTTCTTGGGGGTAAGAATACCTCCGATCGTTGTGAAATTTCTTAAGATCAGTACCGAGCTTTGCTCGGAGTGCATCTACCTTTTTTATTATGATTTTTATAATAAAAATTAATTTTCTATTATGATTTTTATTTTTTCGATCCAGAATAATCCTTAAGTTTAGATTAATTTTTTGCGGTCAAATTCTAGTTTTTTTTCGATCATAAAATCATAAAAAATTTAGAACGGTCGCATAAAGCACAGTCTTCATTATAACGGTAAAAAATTATGGAAAAAATTAAAATCTGAAACTACGATTATTTTGCTTCGAAAAATTAAAAATTACAAAACAAACTATTAAATTTGACCGAAAAAGTTTAATCCGAATTTTATAATTATTTTTAACGGAAATGATTAAAATAAAAAACCATCTAAATATTAAAATCTTGGTATTTTACGGTTATCTTTGGCTGTTTATTTTAAAGTTTCTAAATATTAAATGGGAGATCAAGGTTTCGCTATGGTCATTCAGATAACTTTAGTTTAAAAATATCTTTGAAATAATATTGTACATACACACAAAACAGTTCTGGTTCAAATCAATAACATACAAATTTTGATTTAAAAAAATAACGTGGCAACCCTCGTCGAAAATATTTCTGTATTAAAGTTCTTAAAAATACCTTGCATTTTATATCCATATCAAAGTTTTTTAGTTAAATTTTGCAGAATCGGAAATATGTGGCAACTTTACACTTATCTGCTGAGGGCTAAAACTTCCGATTATCGTCAGAAAAGACATACAACATCATTTTCTGGCCAAATCATTGACATCTCTTTTCCGTTAATGTTTTTAAATGACAAGCAGTTCAAGGTAGGCTTAACCAGTTTCTAGCTTAATTTGGATATTGATAAAAGAATCAGCTCAAAGTTTTATATAAGTCTTGAGCTTCTCAGACTTTCTGAAAAATTACTGGATACTCAAAATATTACAACAATACATATATATGAGAATACCTGTCTGCTCAGTAATCAGCCAAAATGATCGCCTTCTCACCTCTTTCTACCATAGATTATATTTTAAAATTTCACCCACAAATCCCTTCCGCAGCTTTCGAGACTTACACGTGCAAAGGAATTTCAGCTTTCCTTTTACTTTTATACACGTAAATAAAGAACACGTCTCAAATTATCCCTTTCTTATTTACAGCACAGAGACACACAAGAGACATTGGCGGTATTAGATCGTCTGGATTTAGATACAGAAAAACCGTCCGAAGAGGAATTAGCGCGTAAATTCGGCTTCGAGGAGGACTACTACAAGGGCACATTGTCTTGGTGGCAGGAAATGAAACCGCGCATTTGGTCGCTCTTCGATGAGCCGTACAGTTCGAATGCGGCCAAGGCAAGATCCAATAATTCTAAATGATTAAATTCTCTATCATTATGAATGAATGAATGAAATGACATTCTCTTTCTTACTTTTTTACAGACAATCGGCGTTGTTTCGGTATTCTTCATTTGTGTATCGATATTATCATTCTGCCTGAAAACACATCCCGATATGCGTGTGCCATACCTCGTTAATACATCGGTGAATACGGCCAATGGTAATATGGCTTGGTATATCGATAAGCCACAAACAAATGCGCATATAGCTTTCTTTTATATCGAATGTGTTTGTAATGCCTGGTTCACGTTCGAAATACTGGTGAGTTAAGGCAAATGGATTTGTGGAAAATTTGTATGCACAAATGTATAATTTTAGATGAGCTATTGTATTATATTGATGTTAGTGAGATTTAGGTATAATACATGTGAATTAGGGTAGACAATTTAGGTACACTACTAAAAAAATCTGTTACATATAAAACTGTCTATTCTGTGCTTAAGCTAATCCTTGTTATAGTTAGACACATTCACCGTAAACAAGCAGGTACTTACATACGCTTTACACATACAAGTCCAATAAAAACATGCGTTTCGTGAATCAAAAGGTATCGATTTGAGTTATAGGTAATTTAATTAGATTTTGGCACTGTCGAAGGAGTTATTAAATACTTGCGGGACCACTTTTCTCGAAGAAAACTTGGATTAGATTAGAATGAGTTTTGAGGCGAAGGCAAGTCATCTAATCACCGCTACCAAATTGGATCTATCGGAAAAGTTCACTTTTGAGTTACATGTCTTCACTGATTCACGTTGTACTAAGAAAATGCCCTAAGGGACAAACACGAAATCAGGGGCTGGTGGCAGCTTCGCCGGCGGACATTATGCGCTGCGTTATGTTAATTTCTTCGTGACAGATGACTCGAGTGTTCTGCCACCCCGTAAACGAAAGCCTGTCGCGGTACTTAAATGTCATGGCTATCGAAGTGAAAGAGTGTTTTGGTTCTCCTAGCTGATATATCAGAATGGAAGCTTATATCTGTCTCTTACCTTTTGAGTTCTTCCAGTCTTTTTGAGTACCCTTTATTTAGTTATTATAGTTTTACCTTACACAGCAGATTCAGAAAGTATCCTGGGCTTATAAATCCGTGGGCTGCACATTTCCTGGCTAGAATATCAACCCCCTCTTTGCTCATATAGCCACCACTGTGACCAGGAACTCAAATGTGGTAGATATCTTAACAAATGCGATGCCCATTAGTAGTTTAAGGCAGTCTGGTATGAGCTTTGGGGTAACTTAATGTGCCTCTAAGGCGACGAACGCCACCTGTGGTCTAAGTGTATATATTTATGTATAAATCATCTCGGTAGAACTCTGGCATTGACCCCTCTTTTAATTTTTTATCGACAAGTATATCAAATATGACTTTCCAGTTGAGTCTGCTTTAAAAAAAAAGACCCCAAAGTTCTAATCAAAATTATGTATTTCTCGGAAGTCATCTGTTAACAAAGTTGGTATTAAGTCCTATCTCCTGGTCTTAGCTTTCTTTAACTTCGACTGTGTGGACTTCATCTCCATTTACATTCAGCTAACAATTAATCAGGTTAATATCGATGCTTTGAAATGATATCTCTCCTTTTTCTTGGCGAAGATTATGATACTGGACTTTTTGGGTTTTAAGTTGAATCTATTCTGGCAGTACTAAGTATATAGAGCCAATGTTTGGCGTGATATGTAGGAATTTCGCATTTATCGTTAAATAGGCAGAGTAAATCGTCTAAAACTATGGGCTATAAAAATCTCATCTTTTATACCTCCGCCCTGTGAGTAATCCTTCATGGATACGAACCTAACTACTTCCTGCCCTCCAGCTTTGAGGAGCGGTGAGGGTGCTCCGTGTTGTCGGTGGCTCTTCTATTCATATCTAGAAAGTAAACTATAGAAAACTCTTTCCTTTTAAGCGATTCCTATAAATTTTCTGTGAGATTCTGCAGAGCAAAAAAGGTCAATATCCCTGCTTGGGGAATATATTAATTTCAATGTCAGGGGGGTTCTTTCACAAAACTGTCCACCTTACCGTTCCAACGTCTTTGGAAGAAAGAAGGTTGAACCAATATTTAGGTTTGCTTAATCTTGATAGCAGATGATGCATATTTCTCAAAGAATTGCAGCCCGGAAATATCAATCTCTCCAAGACAGCGATCATCCTCTTCACCAAGAAAAAAAACTAATAAGGGGATGAGGAACTTTACCTTGGATGGGGTGGCGGTCGGTGTCGCCACATACGTGAAGTATATAGAACTTATCCTGGACTCCAAACTCCTGTGGTGGACTCTTGTTGAGGCGGCCACCTCTCTACGAGAGCGCTGATGGTATGTAAATTTCTAGCGTAGAAAACCCGGGATACACTCCAAGGATCCTTAGATGGATGTACACCATGAAAGTGTGACCAAAAGTAATCTATGGGGCAGTGGATTGGACTACCAGGACTACTCTTCTACACGCTCAGGCTAGCCCACTACAGTTGTTTACAGACGCCAGGAATTATAGAAGTAAGAGGATTCTAATTTTAAGTGTTCGTCAGGCAGCACTTAAGTTTCTTTCATCCTTCGAGGTCAAATCATCAGTAGTCCTAGAGTGTGTAGAGAAGCTTACTGCTCTGGCTTAGTAGTTATAATGCTGTAAAATTGCTACTACTAAGGCATATCAGAGTCGAAGAAAATGGAGAAGGCTGGTAGCCAAAATGGCTGCTGCCTCGTCCCTGGTAGCATCTAAGCCATTCCTTTCAGTGGGCCGCGACACGACAAAGAAAGCGCTCATAAAGCAAAATGCCAAACTAAAACTTACTAGGAGGTTAGGCTGCTCATGGGTGTCCCGAGGGAGAAACCTGGAATCATTACGGCCTCTTTGAAAAGTCATTCCATATTTTAGGTATATGGTCGCTTCTGTGGCTCTGTCAAGAATACGCTATTACACCTTCTTCTAGAGAGTGAGGCCATTTCACATAGAAATGAGATAAGTATAGCGCTTCAATGGACATGAGAGGAGCTTTTCAGGTTTCACGTCGTCTGTCTTTGAACTTTTTTCATGCGAACGCTGCGATTTCAGTACTTATGGGCGCCGAAATCTAATAGTCATGGCTAGCTAATGCCTTGAGTGGTTCTAATCTCTGATCGAGATCATTCGCCGAACTAGTAGGTGAAGGGAGTAAGGAAACTTTCTTCATAAAATAGGTTTGGAGATAGGAAGAAGGGAAAGGTCCAAAGGCGAAGTACTACCACATGATATGGAGACTGAACACGATGACTGATAAACTACCATAGTTTGAGAATACCAAAGCTATCTCAGAGGGTAATGTTCTCGTGATTTTCCTGATTGCTTTAGCTTTTTGCCGCTTGAACTCACAAAAGCAGGGCAGGGGAGAAGAAAATGCTAAATTTATTTCACATAGTCTTCCTCTAAGAGCTACTGTGTCTCAACTTCATGAGCTGTGACATACCGTATTGTCTATGAAGCTCAATATCTCGATACCTTTTGTTTCCTTATCGCAAATATTAAAACTACATCCATTTAGGTATCCCCTTGTCAGTCAAGCAGTAAATTGTAAACTTTCCTTAAATATTAAAACATATACACATACATTATTTGTACAATTTTAACGCTCTCTATGTGTATAATACTTCTTCTTCACTCTATTCACCACACCATCCCTAATAACAAAATGTGTATGTATTTTCCTTCTCCCGTTGTTTTTTTTTTTATTTTTAGGTTAGATTCATATCCTCGCCAAATAAATGTGAATTCATAAAGTCATCTGTTAACATCATAGATTATATAGCAACGCTTAGTTTTTATATCGATCTTGTGCTTCAACGGTTCGCCTCACATCTAGAGAATGCCGACATTTTAGAATTCTTCTCGATAATACGTATTATGCGTCTATTTAAATTGACGCGCCATTCGTCCGGCCTTAAAATTCTAATACAAACGTTTCGTGCATCGGCAAAAGAGCTCACGCTGCTGGTGTTTTTCCTCGTATTGGGCATTGTGATTTTCGCAAGCCTAGTTTACTATGCGGAACGTATACAACCGAATCCGCATAATGATTTTAATAGTATTCCGTTGGGTCTGTGGTGGGCACTGGTCACAATGACCACCGTCGGTTATGGTGATATGGTGCCGAAGACCTATATTGGCATGTTTGTGGGCGCATTGTGTGCGCTTGCCGGTGTGCTAACGATCGCACTGCCCGTACCCGTCATTGTGAGCAACTTTGCCATGTACTACTCGCATACGCAAGCACGAGCCAAACTGCCGAAGAAACGGAGAAGAGTGCTTCCGGTTGAACAGCCCCGTCCACCAAGGCTGCCAGGTGAGTGAATTTTGGTGGTAGTGTAGGGATGGATGGGAGAATTTCATAAAATTAATTATGCAGGGTTTTATTTATGAAGAACTATTTTTTTTTGTTTAAAATATATTATGTTTTTTGATTTGATTCGTTTTTATTATTTTCTTTCAAATGTATCGATAAATAAGTCAATAATGATATTTATTGTTAAATTTGTTGATAAAAATCTATATCGATGGCTATCGTTCCAAAATTAAAGTCGTGCATATTGATTATGCGGTTCAACAAAATTTGATCGTATTTTATCTAAAAAACGGGGCCGACCTCATCTTATAGACTTATTGCTGACTTGAAGTGCATTTGCAAAATTTTTTTTTTATAGAATTTCATTAAACTTCGTTTTATTTCACTTCGTTTCATTTAATTTCTTTTCATTTCATTTTTCGTTTCGTTCCACTCCTTTTAATTCTTTTTAATCCCGTTTTTCAATTCAATTTTGTTTAAGTTTAGTTAATTTCATTTAAGTTCACTTCATTTCATTCAAATTTGTTTCATTTCAAATCATTCCATTTCTTTTGATGAAGTTTTATTTCGTTTCAATATATGTATTTCATTTCACCTCATTGAATGGCATCGCATGTCATTGAAATTCATATCATATTTTCCCATTTTATTTCATTCCACTCTAGTCCACTTCACTTTATTTCATTTCATTTCGTTTTATCCCAATGTATTTAATGTGCTTTAATTTCTTCCTTCCTATTCCATTTCATTTATAAGATTCCATTTCATCCATTCAATTCATTCCGATTCTCTCCATTCCATTTAAATTAATTTCAATAACTCAATAATTTAAGTTCATCCCATTGCATTTCGTTTCATTTCATTTAATACATTAAATTTAATTTTTTATTTTATGTTAAATATGTTTTATTTTATTTATTTTTGAATAAATTTTTTATTTCATTTTATTTATTTAATAAACAAATTTTTGTAATTATTTTCTGTTAAATATGTTTTATTTTATTTTGTTTAATTTAATTTAATTTAATTTTATTTTAGTTAATTTAATTTAATATTATTTAATTTAATTTAATTTAATTGAATTTAGTTTAAGCTAGTCTAATTTATTTTTATTTTATTTAATTCTATTCAATTCAAGTTAATTTTATTTTATTGCCTTCGGTTCAAATCCACACCATTCGATCCCATTTTTTCCATTTCACGCCTTCCTATTTCATTTTATTTCAACCAATTTCCTTTCATTTAATTTAAATTCACTCCATCCGAATCAATCAACTCACCAATCACTTCACTTTATTCCATGTCATTTCATTTCATTTTATTACGCTTCACTTCATTTAATTCAGTCAATTAAATTTTTACTTTATTTTAATTCTTTATGTTCCAATCCAAACCTTTCCATTCCACTTAACTTAATTCCATTCATCCCATTCCATTTATTTCATGCCATACCATATTATTTCCTTTCATTTCATTTCTTTCCATACCATTTCATTTCATTCCGTTCATCTCCTTCCCACTACCTTCCATTTCGTGCCATTCCATCTCATCCCTTTTTATTTTAGACCATTTAATTTCGTTGCAATCCATTAACTCTATACATATTTCATTTCATTATATTTCGTTTCCTCTCATTTCACTTAATTCTATGCCAATCCTTCGTTTCTTATTCCATTTTATTTCAATCAATTCCATTTTATTACATTCCGTTTCATTCCATTTAAATTAATTCCATTCTACTTTTTCATTTTGTTTTAATATATTTTTTGTTCTACATTCTACTTCTTTTCTTTAAATTCATTCCATTTCTTTCCTTCTTTTTTTCATTTCTTTTCTCTTCCCCTTTTCGTAAATTTTTAAATTTTTTTTAATTTAAATTCTTTGCTTTTAATTTCTTTTATTTCCACTTTTTCTTACCTCTCCATTCCATGTTCTCTCAAAAACATTCGCTGACCTCTTCACACTTTCAGGTCAAACGGGCGGCGTCAGCGGCTGCGGTACACCCGGCTCTGGTCCACATTCGGGGCCGATGGGATCTGGCGGCACCGGTCCGCGTCGCATGAACAATAAAACCAAGGATTTGGTTAGTCCGAAATCAGGTATGTTACAGTTGTTGTGCGCCTAAAAGTCGACTAAGTTTATGCGTTTCCTAATTCCGTTTTGCGCTAAATATTCATAACAAAATATGCAGTTAAGCTATTTTATATGCGCAACAGCTTTCTTGTTACAAAAAAAAATTGATGAAAAACAACAAAAAAAAACAAATTTATTTGTAAAAAAAAAACAAATTGCAAAATTATGAAAATTCAAGTAGGCGTAGACTGGCTTCAACCCGCACCACCACCACCACCACAACAGCGCCGTTCTAACATAAATACAACCATAGTTTGCCAGTCACCGAGCAGCGAATTAATTTAAGTACGAAAGTAGTTGTAGCTTCCCACATCAATATAAATATAAATATTAAATGTAAACGTTAGGCATCACTGTAGGCGAAGCAGCAGCAGCAGCAGCAGCAGCAGCAACGAAATGTCCACCCGCTTCTTTCTATATTCACCCAATGCAGCTTTCCACTTGTGCGTAGCAAATGAAAATCGACAGCGAAATAAAAGACGTAATCAAAAATTCATATCCGCAATTCATAAGTAGTTATTAAGTCGTTAATCGTGTATTCCCGCCATGCGCCATGCCGTCCGCTGCCATTCTGCCCAAGCGCCTTAAAGCAGACTTACTCGTCTGTAAGCAGCTACTTTAATTTGCTTTACTCCAAGCCAAACACACACACGCATACGTAACCCATTCGCAAATCGTAAATAAATATATTTAGTCTACCTGCTGCACGCGTATGCCTAAGTACATATAAATGGAAAATCACACACACACACACATACCCGCAAACATACATATGTACACACCTACTCTGATTACCCTTTTATGTGCGACTACGCTTCCTTGCGCATATCCTTATTTATTTGCCTACCCACGCCTGACTTGGCGTCCTGTCGTCGTCGTCGGCGTTGTGAGTATTTGACTTAGACGCGGCAGCTTTAAATAACAAAATCCGCAATGTTGGTGAAATTAAAGAGTCGTAGGTGGGCGCCATTGTTGTTTTAAAATATTAACTAATTTTTTTTTTTAATGTGCTACATGCATATGTGTGTATGTAGGTACATATATATGTTGTGCGTGCGTGCCCATGTATGTTCTGTTAAATATGTACCTGCCTCCTACACATATTCGTGGTTGCTTGCAATGAAAAGCTTTAATGTCGATGTGCTCGTG